ATATTGAGGCCATACTCTTAAGTGAAATAAAGAAGACGCACATGTGTAAATACCAAATAGTTTCTCTAGTGTGAAAAACTGAGAGTGTACATAAGGACTAAAAGGTATAATAGATAACTTGAAATAGGAAGAAAAGGTCCAAAGGGGTAGGGATGGTGGGAGGGGAAGGGGAAAGTAAAGGAGGGAAAGGAAAAATTATGAGAAAAGTGAAAAATGGAAACGAAGTCTATGTAGATAGGAAAGGGTGGAGGGGTGAAGGAAACACAGGTAATGGGGAAAAAATAAGAACCAAGATACATCATGTACAGGTATAAGCACCCAATGATAAATGTAAATGTGTTGTTTACCTAAAATGTACAAATAAAAGAATTTAAGGGAAAAAAAAAGATTCTTCTGCTTATTCCCCATTTAACCTGATTTCTAGTTCTGAAAATAGGACACAATTGTGGAAATTCTGCCTACCCTTGTGGGGTGGGTCATTATGACAATGTTTATGTCCAAAGCACTTTGGAAGCTAGAATTGAGGAAGTCAAGGCAATATTCTCTGCATGGGGATCAACCCCCAACTCAACTGACCTTAGCTCAATGTAGTCAACACAAATTCAGTGACATGAGTTTTCCCCACTTCTTGGGTCATAAAGATTGGACATTCTCCGTTGGAGCCAGTGGCAATGAACCAGCCAGAGAAGGCTGCAGACTCAAAGGTTGAGGTGCTGCCAACTTCTTTGTGATAAAAGAGAAAGGGTTTCTCAGGCTGGGGTTCATCATACAGATCCTTTATTTTCTTTTTCTGAAAGGTGAGAAGGAGAGCCCAGGGAGAAAGGTAACCATGGGAACTATTCCACATTCCTTGCACTCTGATGTTTCATGTCTAAGATTCTATTCCCCATTCTCTAGAGCAGGGATAGAGGCCTTCATTTCATACCATAGCATTAAGAATCAGACACCCCAAATACTATTACATACATTAAGAGTATAGTGAAAAGCTCAGGTCACAAATTTTCATGACCCTTAACATAAGGAAGACGTTGTTGACATACAAGTTTTTGAGAACATGAAGTACTGGTTTTGCCATTATATATTTACTGATAAATGGAAACACTGAAAGAATATTTAATTCTGAATAAAAACATAATTATTTATGTCAGTTTTCTCCAACCTCAGTACTGCTGATATTTTGGGCAAGATAATTCTTTGTTGTCAGGGGTTTTTCTGTGCATTACAGACTGTTTAATTACATTCCTGATTTCTACCTTCTAGGCGAAAGTAGCACACCCCCATCCCTAGTGTCTCAACCAAACATATGCAGATTTTGACAAATGTCCAGGGAGCAAAATCATCCCTAGTTGAAAGCCATTGTTTTATATCTTGTCATCATAACAAATATCTGCCTATGTTTCTTTATTGAAAAAGTCAACAATAATTTCTATAATATCCAGAGGCCTAGTTTAATTGTCTTTCTATAATGTATAGTATTTAGATATTTTTAATAATGGAAACATCAGGATTATTAAAATGTTTGTTACAGAGATTTATCATTGTTCACTTAAAATTGAAAACTATTCTTTGTCAAGAAGAGAGTTTAATAAACTCATCGACTTGTAACTGCTAAAAATATCCTTGTTGGTTTGGTTTTACCATTTGTGCGTGCCTGTGTGCATGCATATGTGTATGTGTTTGTGTCTCTGTGTGTGTGTGTTCTATGAAAGTTAAGGATAACTGTAAAAGCTTTCCCCTTTTGCCAAATCATTTTTGTAAAATGAAATAAAAAGTGATTTTAGGAAGCAAATTTTATAATACTCCCTATATTTTTCTTATTCTTTCACAATACATGTAATCCAAAGAAGTCCAAAAATAAATATGCATAAGGATAATCAACAGATTGTCTTTTAAAAGATTCTAAAATCAGAATTTCCACAAAATGGCACCTTTTAAAGCAGAGACTCCTCTCTCCCAGTCAGGTGAGAGAAGACCCTGTTTTTCTGTACTCACATTAAGCTGCAGCACAGTCTGTTCCCCAGCCTTAGTGCAGAACAAGCTAAATTGTGGCTCCTTCAGTCCCAGGTACATGGGATCCCCTCTGCCCTTCTCAAGAGTCTCCAGATGTTTGCATGGATATAAATCAACAGTGACTGGGAACATAATGCAGAAAGTGGACTTCAGGTTATGTTTCCAACACGGCATCTCTGAACCGGAGTTTCAGGAGCAACAGAGATTGGAATCTGCTAACCAGTGCTTACAAAGTGGTCACCCCACCACTAACCACCCAGCCCTCAGATTCATCCCATCTTTAGTGAACTCCTTCCATCAGAAAAGCCTCTTGTGGATCCAAAAACCAATATTTCCATAGATCAAATTCTTTACAAGTTTTACAGAAAGTCTTCCACCCTTTCCTACAGCTAACTCTTTAGTCTCCCTCAAATCATCTCTCTTCTCTCTGACTCATTCCAATAGTCACAGACAATTCTCTGACCATCCTGTATTCACAATCACCATACAATGCTTTTCTCTCTAGACAAGCTCAGTTAACACACCTACTGTGAAATGAAGGCTGACCCCAACCCACAATGGCACTGGCCAAAAGGATTGCCTGCAACCAGCCTTGGGCCCCCACCTGGAACCACATTTGCCTTCCTTGGGACCATTGTGAGGGTCTGGCCCTGAAGGACCCACACACGTTGATCAAAATCCTGAATGTGCCTCTGGAAAGGTATTCTCATGGATAATTCTGTAGAGAAAGTCAAAATGAAAATATGTGAGAACAAAGGCACAGAATGCCCCCCCATTCCACTTCTTTGCCCTTCCATGAGCATCTTTACCTCTGGACAGCATGTTGGTGTTGTTTCAGAGCTTCCCAGCACTGAAGTCGTTTATGTGTAAACCAACCCCCAGGAGAGGATTTAAGTCTGTCCTAACCCACAATCTGACCCTGAGTCAGAGAGACAGATCTACAGTGACCCCAGCTAGAATCTGCACTTCTAGCTTCTTGGACCCAATCTACTTCTCAGCAGAAGCAGTTACACCTATGACTCCTACTGAGGCCTAAAACCAGAGTTCTAAGAGCACAGAGAGCACTGAGGCCAGAGATCCAGAGGCATGAGAGAATCAGAGGTTACCAGGCTCCCAGCTACAGGCTGCAACCTGTTTACAGAGGACCCAAGGCTCTATTATTAGGCACTATGTCTTTTGCTACACTCGGGTGTTCTGACAGGTTCTACTAAGGTCCACACCTTTTATTCACACAGAGAAGGAAGTAGGTTCCACCTCATTAAGACCAAAACTGCACCCTGGATAATTGCCAGTTCCTGCTACTAGAGGAGGATTCACTGAGTGCTTATATGAATAAATGTCAGCTACAGCAAGTTGTAATCCATACACCCTTGAAAAGAAGGACATGCTAACCCTGTAAGAGCAATAACCAGGAAATATAGTTACAGATACTCACTTTGAGGAAGGAAACGTTATGGGAGTGTCCCAAAGCCAATGACTATATTCTGATGATGTAAAATGACACACTGGGATGTTATGGCTAACAGTAGAAACCTCAAGCAAGCTTGACTGAGGAGGGGGCTAGTCTTTTAGGACCTATGTGGCTTCAAACCACTCCTTGTTCATAGTCACCATGTTCTATGCTGATCTCAGACTAGGAAAAGGCTGGTCACTGGGGATCCTCCTGAGTTTCTCATAACCACCATACATGCAGGATCTCCACTAAACAGCATCACCCAGAGCAAGCCCTTGAATACATGGCCACACTCAGTGAGTAGACTCTAGGTCACTATCTTATTATACAGGAAGGGAGCCAGATGCCAGGTGCTGTGAGCTTTCAATGCCTTACATTAGCCCTTCTATGACGGGAAGTTGAGGCAATGCTGTTGATGCTATTTCCATGCCTATGAGTTCACAGTCTCCATGTCAGATCCCAACACCTGTCAGTTTCACATTTGAAGAGTTTGTATCTCAGGAACAAATTCTACCAAAGGGTAAAGGGACTGTTGGGGACATTCTGGTGGATAAATATTCCAGCCTCCCTGTCTACTAATGGAAAAATACTAAGGCTTCTCAGAGCATCCACACTGGGTTACAGCCCCAGTTGCTCATAAAGATAACTAGAATTCTCTTTAATGGTTTTCTTAGATCAGCTTCTAAATAAGCTCCCTGTATCCAAGGTCTTCCTTGGGGAAAACCCAAACTAAGACAGTATTTGGGTATACAAAAGCAAGAAACTTATATGAAACTTATATTCAAAAGATATGTGTTCAGAATTATGCTTTACAACTTACAATTTTGCACATCTTTTATACACAAAGTGTGATCTGTGGGTGATGTACTGGCATTCTCTAGCAGCTTGTCAGAAACTCAGAATTTCAGATCCTACCCCAGACTTATGGAATCAAGATCTGAAACAAAGGAGCATTAAAATGTTAAATGTTCTGTGTGTATAGCCCACACTTGTGCTTAGTAATGTAGTCACATCAGCACAAAAAGAAAGAGATCAGGGCCCAGGGAATATCTGGGGCTTGAGAAGTGTTAGCTCATAAGATCTGGACCCTCCTGTGCCTTTCTCCAATCTCTGTGAACCATGGAATGCTCTGTCTTGTCACAAAACAAATAAGAAGAAAAGGTAAAAAGGAAGCCTTTGCAGGAAATCTGTGGCCATAGACAGGCCCTCACAAGCATTTTCACCTCAAAGTACTCACAAAAAGAAGAAAAAGAAAACAGGATAGCAAAAGCATAACTGTATAGCATAACAGAGAATTAGTAAATTGGAAGATTTTGAAAGAGAAGAGATACACACTGCAGCAAAGACACAGAAAAGCAAGAAAAATCAGAAGGTAGAAAATGTGTGAAGAATGAAGTCAGGAAGTCTAGAACATTGTTTGGAGTTACAGCAGGAAAAGACAAAATAGGACAGAATCATTATTTAAAGAGAAAATAATTGGGGACATCCTCAAACTGATGAGGACACAGGCTCATGTTCAAGAAACACCATAAATCCCAAGTGGTATAAATAAATAAAAAGGCATGCACATTTAAATTTATCAGAATGAAATTTCATAGAACCAAAGACAATTATTGAATATTAAAAGTAGCAAATACTAAAAAAGCATTTCCTTCAAGGGAACAAAAAACTGACAATTGACTTCTCAATTTTATCAGTGAAAACCAGAAGACAGTAGAACAACATCTCAGATGCTGGATTCTATACTCATCAAAATTCATTTCCAGATTAAAGGCAAATCAAGTTGTTCTCAAAAAGAAACTCAAAGTTCATCACAAGCAGAGGCTTACTTAATGGAATAATGAAGAATGTGTTTCAGAAAGAGAATTCTTGATAGCAAAGAAACATACATTTTTGGTAAAACAGTTCTTGATCTGTTCCTGAGCCCTGTTGGAGACAGAAAGCTTGGATATGAGGCACCAAGAGATCTACCACCCAGATCTGTCTATTTTTATTTGATTCCTTAAAACCATCAAATCACAAAGTCAGACATTCCTCAAAGCAGTTCATTGTGAAATAGGAATGATACATCCATTATTGAGCCTATGTAGGGCAAGTATAAGATGCATGAGAAAGTAGTCCAGACCCCCATATCTCTCACCAAAGTTGCACCAGCGTCCTTCCTTTATCTTATTTCTATAGTTGTGTAGTCCCATACAACCAAAAGGCCCAAGCTTGGTTTACAGTCACTTCAATTGGGGGATGGAAACAAAAATTAATGGCAGCTGTATCACAGCCTCACTTGAGTCAGTTGGGGTGCTTTGAAAGACTAAAAAAAGGGAAAATCTTCAGTGGACAGAATTACAAATATTGCTACTGATCACTCACTTTGTATGGAAATAAAAGTGGCCCGGGGTAGAATGTATACAGTATCCTGGACTGTACACAACAACCTGGCTGACTGGTCAGAAGACTGAAAGAAAAGCAGATATAAAGTAAAGGCATATGAATGGATATATGAGAGTGGCACAGAAGTAAAGTTTGTATTTTATATTAATACCCACCAGGAAATATCAACTAAAGAAGAACTGCTGAACAACCAAGCAGGCACAATGACTACTAGTTGATGTTAGGCTATCTTGATCATCAGCCACTCTAAAACTGGCATGATGGGCACATAAACACAGTGGCTATGGCAAGAGAGCTGGGGGCTGCATGTGGATCTAAAAGAATGCATTGCCACTAGAGTCAGGTGGAACTAAAACTTGCTCACCAGGGTGACACAAATAAGGATAGACCCATCTCATGTCTCTATCAAAAGTTTTCTCATGCCCCCAGTCTGGGAAGACTAGTGCTGAGGCATGGTGGATACAGGATGGATGACGCTTGGTGAAGCTATTTCCATAAATCATCCACATCTTTGGATTCTAAACACATTAGATAAAAGGAGATACATTAAATTACTCTTTTATTCCTCTTTCTCTCTTCCTCCCTCACCTCTCTTACTCCCAAAATTTTAGGACATAAGCTCAGTTCACTAATCCCATGGATCCCCTTTATGAGTGGCTGGGAACATATTCTAAGACATGCAAATGGAAGTGGCCCTTTATGTGATAGCCAGTGCTATCCTGGGAACTGGTAGAGTCTAAGTACTCACACCTTAAAGGAATTTATTGGGTTTCTTTCTTTTGTTGTTGTTCCACAAAACAAAACAACAACAAAACTCATCTCAGTCTTGTTCCTTCTCTCCAGTTCCATGGTCTCACCTGTTGGGAAATTCAAACACTTTATCTTTTCTTGATGTTAATTATCAGGGAGAAGTAGGGAGCTAAAGTATGGAGGGAGATTAATGAGAGCTTGGGAGTTCTGAAGTTCCTTACATCTCCAGGGAACAGTTACTATTACGGTCCCTGGGAGAGAAAGAGTGGCACCCATCCTGTGTGTCCAGACTTTGTGTTGATGCTGATCAGAGAGGAAATTAAATCATCCCCAAACTACTGGATTGACAAAGATTCAAATCCTGCCAGTCTCTCCTCCTCTCCTGCCAGCAACACCACACAAAGTGTGTTTTCTGTAATTACAGGTGCTCCCTGTAATTTCTGCTGATGCATTGGGGAAATAAAAGATGAAAGGTGACTCACCGACGTGGCATGACTAGCCAGAATGCAGCCATTTCCCTCTCCTCCCAAGTCAGCCATGCCAAGCTGTGCCAAGAAAGGGGAATGGGACAAACATTCTCCCTCCACTGAGCCACACCTTAAAGATGTGTGCCCTCAGGGCTTTGTCCACAGACTCCCTAGAGAAGGACTCCATTTCAGCCTGTTGCGGTTGTCCATGATGCATCCTTCATGATCTTCCTAGGTCCTAAAGCCATCTACTCTAGTCTACAGTTACTTATAATGCTCTTCTGGGATCTTACTGGGTTGCTTCTGTCATGCCTGTTTGCACCCTCTCTCCACCTTATTTAGTTTTGGTATTTTTATAATTTTTATAATTTTAATGTCATGTTTATCTCCCTATCTAAAACCTATATGTGCTTTTAGATACAATAGACAGAAGCATCCCCAGATGTTTTACACCCTCCATAAGTCCTCTGCATATATTACAGGTCCCTAAATATTAAGACCTTTGCAGTGACTTTGAATAAAGTCCAACTGTTGAATATGACTTCCTGTTCCTGTCTTTCTGATCTATTGTGAAAGATGCAAATAAGTTTTTGCATACTTGTAGGGGACTCAAAGCCTGGAAGTAGCTCTATGCCAAGGGCAAGGATGCTCATTCTCTAGTTAAAAAAGTAATAGGACAGATATCTGCATGACTGTCAGGGATACATGGACTAGTTATGACAGAAAGTTAGGAGAGGCTGTGCAGGCAGTTGGACCCCAGAAGAGTTGGGGCAGGATGCTTGGGCAGTCTGACCCCAGGAATTTAAATGGATCCTGTCTTTTTTCTTTATCTCTTTTCAGAGGTGCACAAGGGAGATCTTAAAGACATGCAGTACATCTTAATAGATTATGTCTAACTCAGTGTCTATCCCTGAAATGCAACCTTTAGGTTGTATTTTACAAAATTGTGCTCATTTTAAAATGGAGGATTTAAAAAGGTAAAATATTATTTTCCTTTGTATCTCAGGCAGGACTTAATATAAATTAGAGACATGCAGGGATGTGGCTGCAAAACAAAACTTTAAATTTCAACACATACTCCAGCTTGGTTTGTTTTGTAAGAGGGAAGAAAAAT